TAATTTTAACCAAATTATTTATAATGACTTTCAATTCTAATTCCTTGTTTAGTATTTAGTGTTGCCACCACGTCATTTTTGAACCTCTTGCAATCTATTTGGCTTTGATTCAATTAAAGTTTGTAAATATTTAATTGGTATATTCTCCCATTCTCGTTTAATGGCAGTTTTGAGGGTATCCTTGGAAGTTATCTTGTGTTTGCCAAGTTGATTTTCTGAAAAATTTTAAATGTGCTCTATAGCGTTGTGGTACGGTGATTCTGGAGGGGAATGAAGTTGCTTTGGTACATTAAAGAGAAGCCACTCCTTTACAATACCTGAGGTTCGTTTAGGATCATTCTCCTGTTGAAAAATCCATTCATTTTTATAACACATTTTTCGAGCCGATTCTTTTAAATTACCCTTAAGAATATTTAAATAATGAAATTTATCCATTTTGCAATCAATAAATTCAAGACTTCCAACTCCGTATCAAGATATACATCCTCAAACCATAACATTGCCTCCACCATGTTTTACAGTGGATACTAAATTTTTTGTATTGAGTGCCTCCTCTTGTTTTCTCTAAATTTTAGATGGCCCATCATGTCCAAAAATATTAAATTTACTCTCGTCAGAAAAAATTACCCTTTTCCAATGAGATAAATCTGAATTAATATGACTTTTAGCGAATTCCATTCGCTTTTTCTTATTAGTATCTGATATAAACGGTTTTTTTTTTCTTGGAATATTCTTAGGCACGAAAACCACTTCTGTTTAATACTCGTATTCTTTGAATTGTACGACTATAAACATCTTTCTTATAGGTTTCTGAAATTGGTTTAGCTATTTTGATACCAGTTAACTTAGGATTTTGCTTTATTTTTTTTAAAACTTGTCTTTTTTCACGTTTGTCCAATTTTCTAGGCCTCCCAGTTTTTTTCCTGTATCGAACAGAACCAGTTTTCTTAAAATTTTTAACAGTTGATTTACTCCCTTTTCGAATTTTAGCTATTTCACCCAAAGAAAACCCTTTCCGAGTGGTATTTTATTGCGAGTTCTCTGAACTCAATACTGGATTCTTTATCGTTAACCATATCGAACTAATATTAAATACTGACCATTAAAATTTCTACAAAAATAAACGCATTGCATTCAAAATTGCCTCTAAGAATGATAACAACTCAAAATTTTTATAAAATTCTAAAATTTTCATCAGAAAAATAACCTTAAATTTATCGTACGATTAAATATGTCGCAAAAATAAGTAGGAAAAAAACTAATGTGCAAATTTGAGGATTACTCATTCGCATTTCTCACAATTTTTTGTAGCTGAACACAAACATATATTCAATCAAGTGTTCCTACAAAATTTCTTTTTCGTATACGTTTTAGAAATACAAAATCGGGCGCTTTTATCATGCGTACGATTAATTATGTCGCTCACTGTATTTCAAATATTGCTTATGGACGGTTATGAATTTTGTTTGATCTAACACATAATAGCTAAAAGTTTGATGTGCAAATGCCATTGATGAATGTTTGACATTACTTATCTTTTTTCAAGTAATAGAGCGCCACCAAATTTTCATTTTGGCTTTTATACAACAGTAAATAATAAACCAAAATCGAGGTCGTATTATACGCAGCTGTTTAAAAAACGTTGACCCCATATATTTAAATGTATATCAACGCAATAGCCTCGCGACAACTGCACTCAATTCGAATTCTCAATATCGATTATACAGCGTAGAAACTTAAAAACTATTTTCATTGTGTTTTATTTTCTATACAAATTTCAATTACACTTTTATAGCAGTATAGATTTCAGTTTCACGTACATATCTGCGTTGAGATATAATTTTGTCTACCATAATATCGCATACCGTGTGCAGTGACGGTAATTACAAATGCAGCTTAATTTATTTCTAATTCGAGCATCTGAATCATGAGCATCCGATTTAAACTTGAATTTCAGCTGATATCAGCTGAATTGTGTGGCTTTTATAAATGCCAAATCATTTATTTATTAGTCGCATTATTAATGACATATTATACGTTATGGTGAGTATTTACGTCAAACCGTCAACGGATAGTATGTTTTTTATTGGAAAATAAAGAATGTAATATTTCCATCTCAAAATAAGAAGACAATAACACATCAAATTTTGTAAAATAAAAGAGTTAATCGAAATCAGGTTATGTAATATGATCATTCTTTAGAAACCACATATTCTTGAGTTCGGACTCCTCTTTATATAAATGAACGATGTACCGATTAACGCCTGTACTTGTTATATTTCTCTTAGAAAAGTATAATATAAATTTATATTACAATTTTTGCGTTTATTACGTTTTTGCTAGAAACTTAAACATAAAGAAAAAGTAAAAACCCTAGGATACCAAAAAATAACTGCACTTTGTTTAAATGGCAATAAAGAGAGAGAAAAAGTTGAAAAACTCATTAGTTCACAAATACACAACTACCATTTTATTATGCAAATAAGTGCTTGGTCGTTTTTCAAAAGTTTCAATTTTAAAAATTCTATTATTTCCTAAAAAATAAAAACAATTTGTGAATATAAAAATCTAATTAAATTTGAACACATTCCAAACCTCTTTTGTTTTCATATACACACACTATTTTACGCTGACCATCTATTAACAGAACCAACTAAAAATTCAATGACCTACTTTTTTATTAAAGCACTTAAATTCTTTCTATACCAAAAAAAAAAAACAAAACCAAACAAGAGGAGTTAAATAACCTATTTAATGGTAAAACGGTAAAACTATAATATTAACGAAATTTAGCAAAAGACCCTCAATGGAATTTTTCTATTTTCCATTTTTATTATACGATTACCATAAGGCATAGCGGGAGAAACATTAAAATATGTAAAAAAAACAACAAACATACAAAAAATCAAAAATTATACGAACCGAACATGCAAAAGCTTTGATTTCCTTTTCAAGGTCATGTTTTAAACATAATTTTTTTGTGTCGAAAACTGAAATAAAAGCGTGACCAGACACACTTAAAAAAAAATCGTTTTTTTTTCTTTTAAATAAAATAAAAAAATAACAAAAAAATATAGGGAATTTTTCTATATGTATTTGGCTTTCTATTTTCCTTTTTAATTTTTAGCAAAAAGCAGAAAAAAATAAAAGAAAGCAGAAAGCTTTATAGAGCATAAAAAAAGCTAGTCACCATAATCAAATTACAAAAAGGACCTGCCTTCAAAATTATTTGTTTTTTTTTTGCCATATTTTTTATTTTGTAATTTAATTTTACAAAGTGTATCAAATTTTATTTCAATATTTTTTGATTTGGACTAGGTAAAATAATTGAAAAGAAGTCTTAAAAGTTACTATTATCATTTAGGAATTGCTCTTATATGGTTTTGTGATGGTTATCGTTATTTGACATACCATTTAATTTGTTTATTGTGTCGTCATATCAAGTTGAAGAAAAGCAAGAGCGATTTTCTGCGGCAATATGTCAAAATTCCTCTAAAACACACATATTTAAATGGGACTGCCCAGAATTAAGCCGCTCTTATTTTAACAACGGAAATTTTTCGACGTTACATTTCATCGATTTGGTTGTATTTTTACTACTAATGAGTAGCCAAAACTGACCAATTTCAACTGAACAACTTCACCATCTTAAACATATGTATGCGGGATATGAAAATAGTATTTCTATTTTGCAACAGATAGGTCTTTTCGGAGTTATTTTGTCATTTAATTATAATATTTGAAATGTATTTTTATTAAATTGGGATTTTAAAAAAATTAAGGTAAAGCTTTACACATATACCGTTGACAACGTCCAAAAACACCATTCCATTTACAAACGCATACAAGCTTCTAAGTAAATCTTTATTTATCGTAAAATTATCGTAAATTCTATCGTATCTACATATTATATTATAAGTATTAAAAATATATGAAATTAAAAAATTAAAAACTGAAATGTTTTTTTCCGGTACAGGGTAAATTAAAATTGCTTTACGAAAAACTAGGAATGCGGCACCCTCTATTCTAATACAAATCAAAAAAATAAATATGTGCAATGCCATCTACAAAATATCAGCAAAAATAAAGTAAAATAAATAATTTTAAACAAGATTGAAGGATAGAAAAAAATATATTGGTTAATTTAACAATTTCATATAGGATTTTTTGTAATAGAGCATTTGTTTTCTTATCTTGTATTCTTGCATAACAGTAGTATAGGAATTCATAAAAAATCCTTAAAAAATTTATATAAAAAAAATACGAAGAATTTCAAAGAAATTTCAAATATTCTAATATAACAATGAAAATCGGAAAGGAGAATAGAATTTCAAAATTTTTCCAATCATATATAAAAGATTTTACAAAAGATTCTTTATTGGTTGTCTTGAATTTAAATATATAATATAGTAATTGAGTCAAGTAAAAAGTTTTTGGTTACCAAAGAAAAAAAAAACAGAATAAATCGATTAAAAACTTTTTTAATATAGAAAATGGCTTGCTGATATTTTGCTCGAATCGTATCTGAACAAAATATTGTAACCAACGTACAACAATAAATATTTTCTTCTTTTTTTAGAATCAATTTCGAGTAGAAGAATACAATTTTTATAAAAAGAGGAAAAAACTCATTTGAAAAGTATTAAAAACGAAAAACTTTTATCGTAAATTTTGTAATTGAAAAAGTCTTTTTAATGGAAATTAAAGCACAAAATTTAAAAAACAAAATGAATTTCATTTAAGAAGACTTATAAGCTGGCAACAATGCAATTTAATTCAAATTATTCTGACAGCAATTCTGTCATTTTTGATTAAGCACAACTTCATAAAATATTTGTGTTGTAAGCAAACCGTTCAATTCTGTTAAACAAAACTGAATTTAATTTTTGTGAATTTGAAATAAACCGGTGCGACTGGGGCCCCATGAACAACCTTAAAATTACAATAAGATAATTAAATTTATATTTTTAATAATTTTAATACTTTATTTTTCTTTTCAGAGAATTTAAACATTTTTAAGGTAACAAAGCATATATTAAACACCTCAACAGAATAATTGTGAAAAAATATCGAATATTAGTTGGTAAAGTTAATTTTAAGTGGGTAAAATACAAAAGAGAAAAGCAAATCCACATAAAAACACTTCAAATTAATAAAAAATTGAATTACTTAAAAACAAAAGAAGAAAAAATTTAAGTGCGCTTAGTGAAAATTTGTGTTTTTTAGTTTTTTAATAAAAAAAAAAGAAAACATTATATTGTAAAACCTAAACAATCCCAGCAAAAAATTATAAAAATTGTGAATTTTTTGAAATAAAATCAAAGAAGGCCTAAAGAGACAAAATAATTACAACATAAAAAATTAAACGAAAAGTTATAACCTTCAAAATTATAATTTTTAAATTTGTATAAATTTCTAAAAGCATTAAATATAAAATTGGAATTCAAGGATATATGTAACTAAACTAAAATCAAGTAAAATCAACTGAATCCAAGCAGAAAATTAATCATAATTCAATTGCTATACAATCATTAAATTTCGAATTTGACAATTTAAATATTTGTCTTTCTATATATATACATACAACTAACTGTAATTCACGACTTATACGAATAATAAAAAAACAAAATGGCAATCTCATCAAATTTTGGTACTTCCGATAATATTGAATTAACACCAATTAATAAATCAATTAAGTCTGGTTTAAATTTAACACCGAAAATGAAAAGAGCTGCTAACACCAAAAAATTACAATTTACAACACCAGAATATAGTGCAATATCTGTTATACCATCAACTGGTATGAATCGAATGATAGCACCGAATCGTAGAAGGTAATTTATTTTTTTTTATACATATGTATTATTAAAAGTTATTATTAATAGAATTAAAATTATAGTTTTAAAACAACTTGATGTTATGCTAAACTTCATTATACTAAATATTCTTGCACAAATGCAAGAAAATGGTTTAAACATTCCTGTACTATTGTGGGACTTTTTGAGTCATGATTTTTACAATACATTTGTAGCATTTGCAACCTCTAATTTTCAAAAGACAGGGCTATTACATTGCACTCCTTTTGCATCGGGTTTCTAACTTATCAGGAAAATTTCGAAATTTTTTTATACGTTAACGATTAATATAGAGAAATAATAAACCTATTATTTCTTATATAGATAATACGCCAACATTTAAAATTCGAACCAGTTTTCTAAATGTAATTATTTTAAGTCTAAGCCAAAAAGAAACTCATTTTATGAACAAAATTTAGTATTCCCTGCAATTTGTATATTGTTATGATGAATAAATATTCACAATAGTTCAGCAAAAATCACAATAATGACAATCTTTTACATTTTCTGTTGCAATAAAAATTTTTTGTTCTAGCGTAAAATTCCATTTATTTAAAAAATAAATCTTATTCACCTTAATGTAATTCACCTTTTAAATTACGTTTTTATTTTTAATTTATTATTATAAAATCGTATAAACAATATTTTTAATAGGATTTTTCACCTTATGAACTCAGAAAGATTCACTTTGATTTTGTTTATGCATACCTAGTTGGAAATTATATTTTATATGACATTCCATACCGTTTTTGTACGTTTTGATTCCAAAGTTGATGCAGCTGGTTTCGTATGGAAAAATTGTATGAATTTTTTTTTTGCATTTAATAAAAAGCATTTTCTTTTATAAACAAAAAAAATTTACTTTTCCACAGTACTATGATGAAATTTTGTTGAAAAGTGGCTCTGGTGTACACATATGTGTACTTTAGGCGAACAGAGCAACAGAAATGAAGATATAGAGATTGCTTGTAACTTTAAAAGAATTTAATTTTTCCAAATTTTCAAGAATTGTGAAAATTTTTAAATGTTTCACGTAAATGTGAACAGAAAATCTTTTAAAAACTTTAAATTCACCTCCTCATCAAAATTAAGTAGATTTCCATTATGAAAATCTTCATTTAAACGAAGAAGAAATATTTTTTTTAGAAAAAAGCAAATCACATCATTAATTTAATTTTTTAAAATTTATTTCTTTTCTCTTTTTTTACGTATCTACGAGTACTTCCATTTTACTTTATCATGTTGGAAAAAATCTTACAGACCATAAAATTAATCAAGACATTATTATTTTCGCTGCTTTTTTTTTGTTTTAATTTTTTTTTTAAATTTATATTTTTCTAAAATTTTAAAACATTGCTGTAATTTAACTTTACCTCATATTTTACTTTCTGTTTTTGGTTTTTTTATCATCAGCCATTCTAATAATATAAATTGTCCTTTATGAATTTTTAGATGTTTAACGATTTTTCTCTATTTGAACACACTTATTGTTTATGCTGACTTTTCTTCTCTTTGTGAATTTTATATGTTTGTATATATACATACGTATTTAATTCATATGCTTGTATATAATTCATATAATTTAATTCATATCATTTGGTTAAAAACGGAATGTGATGTGATGACAGTAAAGTATTTTTGCTGAGTTTTGAGTATTTTAATACTAATATACTGCAACATATTTACAAACATTATTTTCTGTATGCCGTAGTGTATGAGTTTTTTTTGTTAGATTCTGTAAAAAATAAAATTTCTGGCTTAAAAAAATTGTTAAATGTGAAAAATTATCACATTATTTTATACCTTATTTATTTGCTATACCTTAGTCATTTTGTATTTATTGTTGGTCTAATTTTGGTATTTCGATCCATGGGAACCTGTTCAAACTCTTATTTACTATAATGTAGAAAATTATTAAAAGAAAGTGATTAAATTTAAGAAATTAAAAATTTTTGTTATTACCAAGACACATAACCAGTTAAGAAGCCCGCCTTAACGTATAAAATCGAAGATATAAAGTGCGAAAGCGTCATACGGATAATTTAAAATGAAAGTCAGAATATTTTTAATTTCTTACTTTTTAATTTTCTTTAAAATTTTACAAAAATTCACAATATAACCACTTTTGGCCAATTTTAATTAATTTTGAAAATAGAGGAAAAACTCAAATTTTTATAGGGTCAAAATTCGATGAAAAGTTCAACTAGAAAATTTCCTCTTAGAAAAGCAGAATAGGAAAAATTATTTTTGCCATTAAAGACTCTATTCCAATACTTTCAAATTTTAATGCTAAATTGCGAATTCAGACGGCTTTTATGAAAACGACAGAATATGAAAAGAAGGCGACTTTCAAATTCTTTTTTCTATGAAAAAGTTATATCGTATATGTGTTCCGGTCATATTCAGATATATTAACGCATTTTATTTTTTATTTCAATTGCACCATTCCTCAGCCCAGTTCTTATAAATACAATTATATTACTATATTGTTCTCACAATTGCTCTATAACGGCAGCTCGATTACTTTATATAGATTTCCTGCGCTTTAGATTCTTACTAGATTTTGAAATTTTAATTGTGATAATATTGCTTAATTGATAAATATTAAATGCATAAAAAACTATTTATTTATCCTTGTTTACATTTATTTACATTCGACCGTCACCATTTATAAATACCAAAAGTCTTATTTACACATTATATATCAAACATTAACAATTTTCAATGATAACTGTTGCTTCGTAAGATCTACAAATCTTTAAAATTTCATACATTTCTCTATTTTATTTGTATAATCTCTTAAACTATAAAATTTTAGTTTTTACTCAGTATGAGTATTTCATTTCAAAATAAAGAAAGAAAAACATTTATTATTTGCACAAAAGTGATGATATTCTAAATAATAATGTTGTCAGCTGAACTGTTTTTATGACGTCAAACATGATAGATAAGCAAATATATGTATGCACATAATTGTATAGGGATGTGTATGTACAACTTTTTTTTAAATTGACCATAAAAGAAATGTCAGAAAAAAGTTTGAACTTTATTAAGCTTTATAATGTGCATAAGTTGCAATTCCCAGGCAATGATTATTAAAGTCCTCAAATTTTGCGAAAAAAGAAATAAAAAACAAGTAAAAACGTTTCAGTCGGTATGAACCGATTGAATTATACCCTGCACCTTTCATTGTTGTATAGCAATTACTCAAACCTGTAAAACCATTCTATAGAAACTTCACGGATATGTCCGATCTATAACTGATCGGACAAATATTTAAAATTAGCTTTTGGAGTTGTATGGCAGGTACCCGAACCTGCCAAGCAATTCCACTAAAACTTCGCTAATATATCTGATCTATAATTGGACACACAACTGCCAAGTTTCATGAATCTAACTTTATTACTTTTCCAAATATTTAAAATAAGCTTTTGGACTTGTATGGGAGCCACTCGAACCTGTCAAGCAATTCCACCAAAACTTCAGAAATATCTTTGACCTATAATTGGACACACAACTGTCAAGTTTCATGAATCTGTCTTTATTATTTTTCCAAATATTTAAAATTAGCTTTTGGAGTTGTATGGCAGGTACCCGAACCTGCCAAGCAATTCCACTAAAACTTCGCAAATATATCTGATCTATGATTGGACACACAACTGCCAAGTTTCATGAATCTAACTTTTTTATTTTTTCAAATATTTAAAGTAAGCTTTTGGACTTGTATGGGAGCTACTCGAACCTGTCAAGCAATTCCACCAAAACTTCAGAAATACCTTTGACCTATAATTGGACGCAGAGCTGCCAAGTTTCATGAATCTGACTTTATTATTTTTCCAAATATTTAAAATAAGCTTTTAGACTTGTATGGGAGCCACTCGAACCTGTCAAGCAATTCCACCAAAACTTCAGAAATATCTTTGACCTATAATTGGACACACAACTGCCAAGTTTCATGAATCTGACTTTATTATTTTGCCGAATATAAAAAATTTGCTTTTGGAGTTGTATGGCAGCCACCCGAACCGGTGCAGCTATCTCATTAAAATTTTTAGAGCATATGTAGAATATAATTGGACACATGTATACAAAATTCTATATTTGTACCTTTATTAGTTTTTGAAATAATTAAAATAAACTCTTTGAGTTGTATGGCAGCTACCCGAACCCGTTGTCCGAATTGGTCCAATAACAATAGGGTTCGTCCTTGGCACAAAAGAAGCAACTTGTGAAAGTTTGGTGTCGATTGCATTATTCGTTTTTGAGTTATCGTGCGATCGGACGGACGGACGGACGGACGGACGGACGGACGGACGGACGGACGGACGGACGGACGGACGGACGGACGGACGGACGGACGGACATGTCTAAATCAACGCAGAATTTTACGCTGAGCAAGAATATATATATATGTCCATACCGCAGATGACTCCTTCAAGTAGTTACAAACTCCATACCAAAGTTAATATACCCTTCACGAAGTGCAGGGTATAAAAATATAAACATAAATTAAACTATACATCAAAATGACATAAAGCCTTTCAAAAAAATAAAATAAGGTGTTATTATTTTTATATTCACCATCACCACCTATTCATTTGAGTAAACACATGCCCATGCAAGCATATAATAAAATATTTCTTAAAGAAATAAAACAGAATAAGTAACAAAATAGTATGGCAGGCCATATAAAAGAATTTTGCATTTTTATTACAATTTTGCACACCATTTTAATGTTTTTGTTTCTTTATAAAATTAACTTGGGTAGCGAAAATGTTCTTCAGAATTATCGTAGTACGAGAACGAAAAAAAATTAGTTTCAAGAAATTCAAATTCAATATTCACACAACTACATACCTACATATATAATTTAAAGGAAAACAGTAACCCATAATATTAAGCGTTACTTAACTTGAAGCCTGGCTTCACTCAAGCCAATCAAAATAGTTTTGCTTACTTGCCTTCAAGTGTTAATAATG